TGGGACCTGGGACCTTTCATTTCATAGGCGGACGCTCTATCCACTGAGCCAAAGCTCTTAATCCACTTTTTAAAAATTAAGGTGTAATATCTGCAATCATAAGTGTACAGCTTGGCATATATTTTCATAGTACACACCTGTGTAAACACCACCCCAATCAAAATGAGGAACACTGTCACCACCCCAGGAAGTTCCTTCCTGCCCGTCCTAGCCAATCCCCAGCCCCTTTCTTACATCACCAGGATTAGCTTTACCTGTTGTAGAATGTTACAGGATTGGAAACATACAGCATGGCCTTTTTGTGTCAGTTGGTTTTCTGGGCCACGTTGGGTGTTCGGCCAGCCTGTAACTGGTTGGCATACCTGTGCCTGCACGCCTCCTTTCTGAAAGGGCAGGGATTCCCCTCCCGCTGGCCTCATCCTGGGTCACTCGGGGTCTGTACCTCTCAGAGTTGCAAACCACAGAAATGAATGCTGGCCAATCCAAGGGGAAAAGATCTTGAGTAAAGTCTGTTGGTAACTCACAGACCATCCAGGAGGGCAGCTGTCGGGCGACACAGTGAAGAAACCATCATGGAGCTGACTGGGGGGGGGCGGGGGGGCAGGCAATACACAATAATCGAAGTACATCATATGTCCCCTGGAGGCAAGAGCAACGGACAAAAATAAGTGTGGGCGGGGTGCTGGGCTGGGGTAGGTGCAATTCTAAGTCAGACAGCGCACAGGAAAATCCCTATGGGGAGCTGAGGGATGGAGGGCAAGCAGATTACTGGGAGAAGAGCATTCCAGGCAGAGAAAACGGGCAGTGCAAAGTCCCAGAGGTGGACTGTGCTTATAGAAGCAGCAGCAAGGAGGATCCAGGGGCTGGAGTGGGCAAGTGAGGGAGGCGGGGAGGAAAGCATTCAGGAGACAGCAGGTAGTCCTGGCAGAGCCCTGTGGACCCACATGCGGACAGTGGCTTTCACTCTGAGCGCACTGAGAGCTGTGGGAGGATTTGGGGCAGTGAAAGGATCGGATCCGTCCTGCACCCCTTCCTTGCACACACCTTCAAGTGTCTGCACGTCTGTCATCCCAGCTAAATCCAACTCTTTGCCTGCACTTCTCACCTTGAAAGTTGGGGGGGGGGAGGGGGAAGAAACCCCACACAAAACCTCCCTAACAGTCCTCGTTTATGTGGTGCTTTCCCATGCAACTGGATGATTTCTCATACTTTCTTCTCACAACTTCCAACACCTCCCTACACTCCACACTCAGCTGATGGCCTTGCTTCTTATTTCCCAAGAAAACAGTCCCTGTGAGCATATTATTCTGCCACCATAGCCAGGAGCACTTGTGCCCATATTCCCTACCTTCCACTTAGCCCCAGAGGCCCCTCTCTGGTTCTCCCCTGCATCCACTTTTTCTTCTTCTCTCCCCAGGGCTCAGACTTCACCTCTGTCTACACCAAGCACGTCAAACTCACGGCCCGCGGGCTGCATGCGGCCCACAACGAATATTTTTGCGGCCCAGCCAATATAACGTAAGAAACATTTTAATTAAAATTTTGGACCTTAAGTTTTACAATATCCTGTTATACATAATTATTAATAACAAACTACAATGTTCGCTAATGACTGATTACTATAATCGTGTTGCATTCATTTCCCTTACGCGCCTTACATGCAGCGAATACTAAAACTAGCAGCGAATATTTTAGCAGCCGATTGCCACATCATTTGTCTTGTACTGACTTGTTTGGTGTGCACGACAGAAATATTTCACTTTCGGAGAACAAGAAAAATAGGTTTATTTGCGTTATGCTTATTAATTTGTGCAGTTATTCAGTGTCTGGTAAGTTAATGTTCAAGCAAAAATATTAATTTTTATTAAAATGTTCTATTATTTTATGTTAACGATTACTCATTTATTTCAACCCTTTGTATTCAGCATGTCTCTATCGAAATAAACCTATGTTTCTAGGAAAACTGAAGCTTTTGTTTTTTTGCGGCCCACATACACTTACACCTTGTTTATTTGGCCCGTGTTAGCCTTTGAGTTTGACATGCTTGGTCTGCACTCACTTCCCAGGTGACCTCAGGAAGCCAGCTGACTTGAAAGACCTTCAAAACACTGAGCATTCCTGGTTGCATGCCTCCAGCCTGGGAACCCTCCCCTGAAGTTCAGGCACACACATCCAACCATCCATTTGTGTGACGACTTCCCTTGGAAATGTTACATTCGGCGGGTCCAAAATCAACCTCCCTGTACAGAACACTGTCCTGCCCGGATCCCTTTGGATCTTATTGTTTCTCTGCATAATTGCCAGGGCTTTGTGTGCTTTTGTCTGATGGCCTGCACCTGTAACTCTTGGAGCACTACCCTGGGGGAGCACTTCCCTGGGGGAGCACTACCCTGGGCTCTGGGCCGTTTGCTACACATTCAGAGGATCAGAAGTGCCTGGGAGCTTAAATGTTCCCCTTGGGTGACCTTCAGTCAAGGACTTACCAATGTAGGACAACTCGAAAATATAACATCCTCCAGAGCTCCCTGCAGGGTCAGGCGACGGGTGCCCTCTGCAGGATTCTGCCTGAGCTTGCTCCCCAACAGCTCTGCTTTACTCTTGTTTCTTTGACTCCTTTTTTCCCTCTCACATGTCACCTATGATCAAGCAGGTCAGCTCCATCATCAAATGACATCCAAAACTGGCACGCTTTTCATCACCCTCACCAAGACTACCTACGTCCAGCCCATTATCAGCGTGTGCCGGAACTAGTGCAGTAGCCTCCTAATTGGTCTCAGTGCTCTGTTTTCTATCAGACAGTCTGCACACAGCAGCCAGAGGGCTGTGAGCATGCACAAAAGACAGGGAACTTCAATGCTAACAGCAGTCACTAATACTGTGCACCTTCCCCTGGGGCAGGCGCTATGCTAAGTAAGCTCTTTACATTCATTCAGTCGTTGCATGCCTGTATACTGAGTGCCTGCTGTGTACCAGGCACTCCATCCTGCCCTGGGATAAGGTGGTAAAGGAGAGGCACGAGCCCTAGCCGGTTTGGCTCAGTGGATAGAGCGTCAGCCTGGGGACTGAAGGGTCCTGGGTTCGATTCCCGGTCAGGGCACATGCCTGGGTTGCAGGCTTGATCCCCAGTGGGGGACGTGCAGGAAGCAGCCGATCAATGATTCTCTCTCATCATTGACGTTTCTCTCTCTTCCTCTCCATTACTCTCTGAAATCAATAAAAACATTTAAAAAAAGAAGAAGAAGAGGCACAACCTGGGTCCCCTTTGAGCTGACATTCTGGGCAAGAAGGTTGATATGTAGTAAGTAAAAACACAAATAAATAATTGCAGATTGTGACCAGCGCCATGAAGAAAATAAACAATGCCGCGACCTTCACGGCTAGGGTTCAGGGTCTGAAGGAGGGGCCGACGCACAAATGAAAACATTAGACAAGAAATATGAATGTAGAAGGCACGGGGGCCAGGCAGAGACCTCTCTCTTGGAGAGGCACACCGAAACCTGGCCTTGTCCGCTATTTATTCAATTTTAGATACACATCTTGTCCTCAGTAAAGCACAGCAAACAGGTAGCAGGCAGACTGTCTCTAAGGTCAATAAAGCTCAGTAAAGACCAGTAAGGTCCAGTAAACATTTACTTTGATGTTGTTAGGTCAGGAAATTGCTTCGAGCCACCACTAAGTCAACAGAACAATGGTGCTTGGCATGAGCCCTGCTAATGCCCGAGGTCCATCGGCCTTCCTCATTCCTTGGTGCACTCTCATGATAGTATTGGCAGTGGATGGCTTCCCGCAAAACAGGTTGACGTGGTTGTCACCAAGAGAGGCCAACTTTAGGGGAGCAGGGAAGGCTTCCTGGAGGAGGTGATCCCTAAGCTGAAAGTGGAAGGAATGAGGAGCTAATCATGCAAAAAACCAGGTGGAGAGCATTTGAGGCACAAGCCCTGGGGCCAGAGTAGCTGGATGAACCAGCAAGGGGAAGGTGATGGGGCAGGGCCTATGGGCTGCAGTGAGAACTTTGGCTTGTACTCTGAATAAGGTGGGAGCCATGGATGGTTCTTGAGCAGAGGTGTGAACTCATTCAGTTGTTCACAGGTCCCCTTCTGCACGTGTCGGGGGAACATGATGGCAGGAGCTAGGGACCAGCGCGAGGGACTGTATGGTCCAGGGGAGTGATAATGAGGGCTGAGGGCTGAAGATATGGGGAGAAGTGGGCATGTTTAGGAAATATTTTGGAGGTGAGGCTAACAGGAGCTGCGGTAAAGTGAAAAAACATACTTGAAGCTGGAGATAAACAAGGAACCCAGAGAACCTTAGTACAGGTTAGCGGGTATGGGCTTTAGGGTCAAGGAACCCTGGCCCCGTTCCTGCTGGCTAGGCAACCTCTTTGCCTTAATAAACTTACTAGTGGGAGAGCAATGAAGCAAGGTATGATATGCAGATAGGAAGTACTAAAAAAATAAATAAATAAAAAATGGTGGCTACTTAAGAAAAAATTCCAGGCAAGGGCACATACTAGTAGGAGTAAGAAAGGCAGTTAACATGGTGGGGCACTTGGCTTGGAGGTGATGGTGACAGCTGGCAGCAGGGGGCAGCAGCGAGCTTCCAGGCAGCCTGGCAGGGTGCCACTTTCCAGATCCAAATGAGCTAAACGGTGGCACCTGAGGTGCCTGGGCCAGGGGACAAAGCAGGCCTCGGGACATGTCCAGGCCATGTGACCGAAGAGGGGGAGGCGGGAAGTGGAGAGCGGGGTGGGGTGGGAGGTGAATAGCCCGTGGCCGCCTTCTGGAGTCCAGGCACCAGAACCTAATAAGGGACATTTGTTCAGGAGAAACCTGAGCTGCTTGCACGGTGGAATTCAGGCGGAGACGGGGGCCAGCAGACAGGGCTTCCTGGCCCCCTTCCCCTGGATACAGTCACCCCAGCTCAGAGAATTCCAGGGCTATACCAGCTGGGGTTCTTCTTACCAGCCTCCCGCGGCCCCCACAAACACTCCAGGCTTGGGCTCTGTTACAATAGGCACTTTATTAGTGGTTGGAATGCAGTTACACGCAGGGATGTGTGGACAGAACAGGGAGGGAGGACTGGCGACAGGCGCAGGACATGGAGACCCCAGGCGGGAATCTCTCCCTCTCAGGGATCCTGGGACTGTGCTGATGAACAAAGACATGAAGTTGGGGGCCTTAGGATATGGCAGAGAGGAAACCAGGAAACCAGGTCCTGAGTTCAACCAATTTGGCAAAAGGATCCTCAAGATGAGGTGACTGGGCAGGGAGGTCCGGCGTGCAGGCAGCATTTGCCTTGCACCCCTTCCCCTGAAATTGTCCCTTGGGTGGATTCAGTTTCTTTTCTCTCCTTACAAAGAAAGCTGTGTCCATCACTGGCAGAGGAAGGGAAGAAACTCAGCCCAGCTCCGCCCGCCCGCCCGCCAGCCAGCCAGCCGGCCAGCCGGTTCCCATCAGGCAGCTATCAGTGGTCTCCTCCCTCCTGCTCCAAGCAGCCTCCCAGAATAGTCTCACTCCCTCATCTCCCATCAACCACCAGGGTGCCCTGCTGCCCCCATGCCAGGAGACACCCCCTGGGCACGAAATACACACCCACTGCAGCCATACCAGATAACAGAAGGCACTCCTCAGCGGCCCCATTTCAGCTGTCGAGACAGAAAAAAACTAATAGACCCTTTAATGCATAGCCAGGTTAAAAAAAATAGTAAAGAAACACACGTGGCAGCCTGCGTGCCAGTTGTTCAGCTCTGGAGAGGGGGCTCCGTCCTGGCTTGAGCAGATGCGTGTGACGGGGGGCCTTCAGGAGCTGGAGCTGACGGTGCCCACGGCTCCCGCAGACACAAACACCGTCCCGCCATGAGAGGGAACAGGAAGCGGGAGGCAGCCCACAGAGGCTGGGCCCCATCGCAGGCCAGACACATCAAGAGCCCTGACGGGACTCCTTCCCACCCCGGCCAGTGAGGGCTGGAGCGATCGGTTGCGCAGTCTTGGGGGGGCCGCCACGAAAAGCCCGATTGCCCCTTGGCATAGGGAGGAGATGCCACCAATCTTCCGGGTCCCCATTGGATGATGGGGGGTGTGTGGCAGTGACAGGACTTCCGGTCAGCCCCAGGGGCTGGGGGTTCTGACCCAGCTGCCGGAGCACCCAGCGTGAGACCTTGCGGGGAGGTGGGGGGAAGGTGGGGCCTTTAGGATTCTGCCGGCTTCTTGTTGGTCTTGTTCAAAAGCTTCTTGAGATTGGAAGACATGAAGTAAGGCCTCTCGGCCGAGCCATCATTCCTCTCTAGGTCCTCCACTGCAGAGAGAGACCCCAGAGCAGGTGGCATGAGGGGAGCTCACAGGCAGGGGCCTCGGGGGGGCAGGGCGGGCAGGGGCCACAGAAGCCTCAGAGGGTTAGGAAGCAAGACACACGGGGACTGGAGAGGGGCGGCTACAGTGGGCTCGGGAATGGGACGCACACGTTCCCCCACGCCCAGGCAAGGAAGCCCCGCATGCACCCCCGTCTACAGGGAGGAAACAGGAGGCTGGCCTCCCTCCTTCTCTACTCCTCCTACTCCTCGACTTCTGCCTGCTTCCCCTCCTCCGCACTCCCCTTCAACAGGATGTCTCTCAGCTCAGGCGACATGAAGTAGGGTCGCTCCTGAGAGCCGTCATTCCTTTCCAGGTCCTCACCTGGGCTCCCCCCAGGAACCGGCAGGGGAAATGGGGTGGTCAGGAAGGGGAGGGAAAAAGGGAGGCAGGGAAGAACAGGGAAGCCAGCAGGCATGGAAGAGAGGAAGAGAAAAGAGAAAACAAAAACAGACAGATTGAGAGACCAGAGTTAGTGGCAGCCACAGATTCCCCCCAAACAAAGCTGAAAACTTGGAAACCAAGGGCCCAGGGCAGGGCGTTCCAGCTGCAGCAGCTCTGTGCGCAGGGAGGAAGCTGAGAGGGCATGCCAGGGCCCGGGTGAGGGACAGCCAGCCCCTGGGAAGCTGGGGGCATGTGGCAGGTGAACGTGTAGCCCCACGGGAAGGTGTTGTGCCCAGAGGGGAGAAGGGAGTCAGGGCCCAGCAAGAGTCGGGCTGAGGGGTCACTCACAGAAGCAGAGGAACAATGTGTCCACACACATGCCGTAGACGCTGAAGAAGCCATGGGCGATCATGTAGGAGCCAATGATCACAGTCTGGGTGAGGGGACAGGAGCTGTTTCTATCCCAACTCCTGTCCAGGGCAACTCCCACCCTCCCTGTCCCTCCCAGGCAGGGATCACGTCATTCCTATGCTGTAAGCCCGCCTTAGAATAAAAATAACCTAACCCCTCAACCCTGTGGGCAAAGCCCTATCGTCCACAGGACATTATTTGCTCTCTTCGACCCCAGGGCCTTTGCACATGCTATTGCTCTGACTTAGTCTAGTTTATTATGCTTCCTCCTTATTCTGCTTTAAGCTCAAACATCAAGTCCTCAGGTAACACCTCCTCCAAGGAGTTGCCTCTGACATCTAGACCCTGTTTTATGCTCTCCTAGTACTGGCACCGCTCCTCGGAGATCTTCATCTAGCTGCAATTTTATGCACGTTTAGGGCAGTACAGGTTTAATGCCCACATCTCCACCAGACGGTGCCTGTCCCGATTACTGCAACATCCCCAGCAATTTGGTGACTCACAAGGCCTTGGTAGGTACCTGATAAACATTTATTGACTGACATGAGTGGACCGTAGAGAGATTAAATAACTTGCCCAAAGTTACACATCTCAGAACTAGCAAAGAGGACTAAAATAAAAATCTAGGTCACCGGGCTCCAAGGCCTGCACCTAGAATTTGTGATGACCTAAGCCCTCCAGCACATGTTACCTCCCTGCCCTTATCTCCCTCTTCACTTCCTCCACACCAGTTACACTGGTTTCCTCACTGCTCTGGGATGGTCCCACCTTAGAGGCTCTGTCCTTGTTCCCTATGCCTGGTTGTTGCCTGCGCGTCCTTCAGATTGTAGATCTGACATCACTTCCTCCGTGACACTGCCTGGACTCCCAGACTTGCACCGCAGGCTCCAAAAGGTCCCTAGAATTCTGCTCTGGGGCACGTGCCAGTCTGCAATCTTGTAGCCACCCACATCATGATTGACTTATTGATTAATGTCTATTTGCCTCTAAACTGCAGTTCTCTGGAGAGACGCCCTTCCTCCCTCTGTGGCTGGTCCATAGCAGGTGCTTCATGTTTGTGGGAATAAATTAACCGATCCCCTACTTCTGACCCCCACTCTATCTGCCCAGTCAAAGGGGGCCAGGTGAGCCCCAACTCCTCCTTCTCCCCCGACACCCACCCATCCCCAAAGTTCCATACCAGTATAGGGACCCAGTAATAATTGAGGGGCGGTGCTGTGTCCTGTATGATCCTAATACGGTGGGTGAAGAAGAAGAAAGCCAGGATCCCTGGACAGGGGGAGAAAACCGAGACGGTTGAGGGTTTGGCTAAGGGAAGTAGCCCCCTGCCCAGAGAAGGCCCAACCCACCACAGAAGAAGACATGGGGACCCCACAGCCCAATGGGCTCCCACAGCCGGACAGGCTGGGTGAGCAGCACTCACCCACACTACCCACAATCAGAAGTTTGCCCAACAGGAAGAGGAAGTCAGTAACTTTGTCCAGGACAGCCACTCTGCAAGGGAGAGTGAGGAGCAGGTGTGAATGTTGGCTCAGGGGCCAGGGGGGGAGGGAGGTGGTGTTTTCTCGAACCTGATGATGTTTCTCATCAGCAGGAAGAAGGCGTTCTTGGCTGAGGTGCAGAAGTTGGTACCATAGATGGCGATCTGGAGGGAGGTAGAAGGGAAGGATCAGGGCCCCTGGTGGGAACGAGGGCCCCTCCCTTCCAGGAAGAGCTGGTGGGTTGGTTATGGGTCCCAGGCCACTGACCATGATGTAGGCATTCCTATTGAGGAATCTGATGAACTTCTCCAGGCACCAGAAGCAGCATTTGAGACAGGTCATGAGGAACTTGGCAAACTTGTTGTCGGCAGCTGGGAGAAAATGGAGGGATGTGAAGGTGAGGGAACACCGCCACCATCACCCCCCTGCACCCCGCCTTCCACCCTCGACACACACCTCCTCATTACTAGTACACACCCCTGCACAGTGCAGGACTCCCAGAGCCCACCTTCTCAAAGAGAGAAAGAGAGGAGACGCCTCCATCCAGGACCCTTGGAGGGCATGCCCCCAATGAGGGGCCCAATCTTGAAGCTTTTCAGCCCAGCCTCCAAGACAGGAACCAATCACAACCCATACCACTGCTCTGGCCCCGCCTCCCACAGACACCAATCCCTGTAGGCTCCCATGGTACAACCCATCCCCTCCATGGCAGGAACCAATCACCCACGTCTTTCAGCTCGACCTGCCCATAGTCAGAAACCAATCACTATCCCACACAAGCCTTGCCCTCAAGCAAGAACCAATTCCGATTTCCCCCGGTTCTGCCTGCCCAGTTTAAGGCCAAAGCCCACAGCATTTGGGCCTCACCTTTCAGGCGCTGATCCAGGTACTCCAGCATCACGCGGATGATCTGCACGATGGCCAGAATGAGGGCACCGAAGGCCAGGGAGCCCGTGTGGTACCTGCAGGCCAAGGGCATGGTCAGTGGCTGGGCCAGGCCTCCTCCACCCCATCTCACCCCACCCCCAGCCCATCTGGGGTCCCACCTGAGTGCCCGGCTGAAGGAGGAGAAGAGCGGGAAGGCAGGCAGGTCATCTGGCTTGTGCAGGGCCCAGTAGTAGGAGGCAAAGGCCCCAGCTAGCGTGACCTGGCCCAGAGCCAGCACGAAGTTGGCCAGCCAGAAGAACATGAAGGCATTGAAGATCTGTAGGCCCAGCAGGGCCCGGTGGTAAGCTGACTCACCACCATAGAAGGCGAACTGGCAGTGGGCTCCAGGGCACAGGCGGGACTCGTTGGAGGAGGGGAAGGTCTGTGGGAGAGATGCAGAGCCGTCACAACATGGGGACCCAGGGTTCAGCGTGGGCTCTGGGCATCAGGTCTGGGTCAGCTATACCATAGGGTGGGACAGGAGTCACGGGGATCAGAGTTAAAGGGTTGGGGGTGCAGGACTGGGTCTTGTAAAAGGGGTTCTAGAAGCAAGACTAGGGATCATGGAACAAACTCAATGGGTGTCAGTGAGGTAGCCTAGGCTATTTGGGGGGTCAGGGTGGGGTCCTGTGTCAGTGGAGTGGCCACATGGACAGGACAGGAGTGGCAGAGGTCAGCATAAGGATCGCTGGGGTCAGGATAGGGGCTTGTGGAAGGCAAGGAAGGAGTTCTAGAAGCAAGAACTGGCCATCACTGGGTTAAGACAGGGGTATGGGAGCTGCCAAGTTGGATCTCTTCCCCTCCATACCCCCATATCCAGCACAGGGCAGACGGCAGGCACCAACTGTTTGTTGAATGGTCCCAAAGTTGGGATGAGAGGTTTCAGGTCCTCGATGGGCTGCTGGGGAAATAGCTGCCCCCCTCCCCCCCCCGCCCCACCTCTGGATACCCACCTCAGGGCTGCAGGTTTTCCCATTAACTGGGCAGGTGTTGACATCGCCGAAGATTTTATAAACAGCTTCGTTGGAAGTGGACAGGAAGCTGGGAGCTCGTTAAGGAACCTGAGGTCTGAGATTAGGGACCCCAGGGGCTTGTGAGAAAGCGTCCCTCCCCCCACCAAGTTTGGGCCCGCCCCCAAGCTGCAGGTCCCTTCCAGGCAAGTGTGGTCTTGAGCCATCCCCGGGGTCAGGAATCGGGGCCTGGCAGTGGATACACGGCAGTGCTGGCCCAGTAGGCGATGCAAAGGCACAGCAGGAAGAAGGTGACCAGTGGATACAGCAGGGAGCACATCACATATCCCACAGCCCTGGAGGGGAGCAGAGATATGGGCATGAGGGATGGAGCAGCCCTGGCACCACCCAAGCCTGACCCCCTCACACCCACCTGCTGGCTTCTTTGATGAGGGCAATGGCGATGAGAATTCTCTTCCGCAGAAAGATGAGCAGCAAGATGATGATAACCTCAAGGATGCTCAGAATGATCACTGTCGGGGGCAGAGGGTGGCCACGTCTGCCAGCTGCCTAGGCCCCTCTCCCTCCCGCGCCTAGCTGGGGGCAGGAATGGGGGGTGGGACTCACTGAAAGCCATCCAGGTCTGCCTCAAGTGCAGGTACACGCGGAGGTCTGTCTGAAAGCCGAGATCCACCAGGGAGATGTCGGAGCCGGCTTCACCACGCAGTCGGGCGTACTCCATGTAGCAGTGAAATATACCTGCACGGGGGACCGCCGTGCTACAGCACACCCACTGCTCCACCAACGGAGTACAGCGGGTACCACCGCCCCAGTTTCCAGAAGCAAAAATGGAGGCTGAGAGGGCTGCCATTGCTTGCTCCCGTCTCTGAGCTTTTGCACCAGCTCTCCCCGCTTCTGATACATTCTCTCCCCAACAGATCCTTCATATCCTCCTGTGCTGAAATGTCGCCTTCTCATGAGGCATTCCAGAAACCTTTCCCCTTTCTAGAATCTTACCCTCTCACACTCCAACTTCTTATCCCCCTGCTCTGCTTTGATATCCTAGAGGGTTTTTTTTTTTCTTGTCCATCTGCTCCATACCTCCAGGAATATAAATCCACAGGAGCAAAGATTTGTCCTGTTTTATTCAATGCTATAATCCCAGCACCAAGAAAACTGCCTAGGATACAATAGACACTCAGTACACATTTAATGAATGAATGAATGAATGAATAGGTGTCAGGGTGCTGTATGGCCTGAGGCTTTCCTGACCCCCTTGCAACTCTGTAACAATGATTCATGGGTAGTAAGGGAGGACATGGGTGTTAACATCCAGTGGGGTAGCATTAGGAATTTTCAGTATTCCTCTTAGCTCTTTGTAGAAGAAAACTGTGAAATACAGATAAAGTAAAAAAAAAAAAAGTCTAAAATGCCAGCATCCAGATAGAAACTACTATTAACATGAATATTTTAATATCTGTGTCCTCAGATTGGGTTGCATATCAGGCCATCTTTCCAAACGGAAAGTTTAAATGAATAAACAGGCCCTGCCCAGTGGGGCTCAGTTGGTTGAGCGACGTCCCATACACCAAAGAGTTGCCAGTCGATTCCTGGTCAGGGCACATGCCCAGGTTGTGGGTTCAGTCCCAGAACGTAAGGGAGGCAACCAACCCATGTTTCTCTCTCACATCAATGTTTCGCTCTCTCTCTAAAATCAATAAAAACTTTTTTTAAAGCCTCTATAAAAAAGAATAATCAGAATATAAAGCACGGGGTTTTGAGCTTGGCCTGTTGGTTCCTCAGGTCTCAGCTCTCTCCATCTCCTCCGCAGACTACCTTCTTCTCATTAAGCCTCCTAACTAGTAAATACTAATTATCCCCATTTTATAGAAGAAGAAATTGAGGCACAGGGAGGTTGAGTCACTTGCCCAAGGTCACGGAGTGAGGAGTTGGCAAAACCAGCATTTGAACCCCCAGCTCTCTGGTGCCAGAGCGTGTATCATTAGCCACTGTCCTAAGTAGTCTACTTGCGAATGCCTTTTGGTGTCATAAAATACAGATCCGGGCCCCAGTTTGGAAGACTACGATTTAGCCCATAGGTGGAGGACAAGGTAGAGGACATCTGATGGCTTAGAACCTTCTGGCCCTTTAAATACAGTTCCTCATGTTGTGACCCAACCATAACATTATTTTTGTTGCTACTTCATACCTGTAATGTTGCTACTGTTACGAATCGTAATGTAAATATCTGATATGCAGGATGGTCTTAGGCGACTCCTGTGAAAGGGTCGTCCGACCGCCAAAGGGGTCTCGACCCACAGGTTGAGAACCGCTGGCTTAGAAGATGCTTAATGAGCCAGTGCCAGGTCAAAGGGCATGAGCATTTTGCGGACTATGAGGAGGGGAGTAGGAAGGGAGGGGGGGACGTACCGTAGCCCAGTACTAGAATCACCATGACGATCATCACCCAGACCATAATGCCAGCCAGGAAGCGGAGCAGCACGATGAACAGGAGGCTCATCACCATGGCGATGACCAGGCCTCTGAGGGATAAAATGGGGGCATGAGTGGTCCCCACCCTCTCACCAGCTTCAGACGGCCCAGCCCAGAAAAGGCCACCGTTCCTCCCATCTTACATGATAATCCAGTACCAGGAGACAGTGTAATCTTCAAATATCCGCATGGCCAGCTGCCGAGCCTCCAGGACCCCATTGGCCTTCCTGGGGTAAGGCATACGAGGGTGGCGTCAGACCCCTCCCTGACTGGTCCAGCCCCATGGGATGCTCTGTCCCACCCAGGAAAGCACAACGCAGGTGTGGCGGGCTGCAGTCCTCACTTGGCGCCCTCAACCAGCTCAGTGATGTTTTTCCGAACGCCGTGCCCATCCTCATAGGTCGTCGCGTTGCCCACCATGAGGACCCCCTTATGGGCGTGGATGGCTGGGAAGCATCGTTGGGCCACTACATGGAGCAGGGGACGGGACAGCAGTCAAGCTGAGCCCCTGGCACCTCCCCACACCCCACCAGAGCTCACAGGACCCCAGACTCACGCGGTGTGCTGGGAGTGAGGACAGGGGGGCAGTCGCCATCCCGAAGCACCTCGGCCACACCCTGAGGAGAGAGGGGACAGTTAACCCCCCAGACCAGCACCCTCCGCCTGGCCCTGCCTAGGCTCCCCTCACCTTGTTGTTCTGGAAGCCAGGCACGCAGAACTGCTTGTAGTACTCAAAGTCCGGGGAACCGCGAGCATTCAGATAGGTGAGGTATCGGTTGGGGCACTTCTCCACGCAGATCTTGGGGGAGCAGGAGGCAGGGGTGGGTGGGGTCAGACACCTGATCCCCACTCAAAATAGAAGTTCCACCTCCCATTCACCAGGGAAAAGGAAAAAGCTGGGTGAGAAGTCATCATGACAGGAGAAAAAGGACCTGGTGTTGGAAATGGGGGACAGAGAAGGGGGTGGGGAGGGGACAGGTTACCTGGGGGGTGGGACACTGGAATTCCAGCAGGACCAGGGGGCTGGCACACTTCACAATGTTGAAATAAAACAGGAAGGGTTTGTTCCTGGGGATGGGAAAGGGAGATGGAAACTGTCAAGACTTCTCAACCACCCGATATAAAATCCTATCCTATCCTATATAATAAAGAGCTAATGTGCAAATGGTCGTCATGCCCTCGCACCCTCACACCAGGGCCGGGGGGGGGGACCTGAGGCTGTGACCTGTGGGGGTTGATGGGGGTGGGGCCAGCTGGGTCTGGGTCTGGCGTGATTTTGAGGCACAAGCAGGTGGGCGGGGACTTGACGCTGGGTCCCCCAGACTCTGACAGGAAGGAGATTGTCATATACATTTTACTAATTTTCTTTCATCTCTGACGCTTCTATTATAGAGAAAGGGCAAATAGCAATATTAAAATATTTCCTCTAATTAATTCCCTTTTAATGTGCATGAATTTCGTGCACCGGGCCACTAGTATCTTAATGAAAGCAACAACAATAACAATAACTGCAGCAGCAGCAACTTCATGTCAAGTACTTTCTAAGCTCTGAACACATATAGGCTCATCTAACCATCACAACAGCCTTGTTAGAGTGGGACTGTTAGAATCCCCAGTTTGGAGATGAGGAAAATAGGTTCAGAGAGGTTGAGACACATGCCCTAGGTCACACAGCCAGGGAGTGACATAACCCTCACATGTGCAGGTGAAGTGAAAGAACTCCCTCTTTTACCTCCGCTGTCATGACCGACATCAGATCCCATAACGTCTCCTCTCTGTCTCTCCCCTAAAACGTGGGCCTCCAGAGGACAAGACTCTTAACGTCTCATTTAATGCTGTGTCCCCACGGCCTCGCACAGTGGCTGGGGATGGTGGGAGTTTTACAAATATTTGTTGACCGGACTAACGGATGGCTGGAAGTAGGAGAAGCCTGGAACCTTCTCCCCAGAGCTCCTGAAGCCCTCCTGCCCACTCCTCTCCCCAGACCCACCAGGCAATAAGGAGCTAGACTTACGCATTTTTTGTGCCCTTCTGCCCGCAGAACTCGCCTCGGCTATCAGTGGGGTAGATCACCTTCCGAGGGTCTCCATGGGTCCAAGCTGTGGAGGAATCCAGAGCCACTGAGGCACTGCCTGCCACTCCTCGGCGTCAGTCCCACTCCCGACCCAGAGGCTGTGGCTTCCCTCTCACCCTGGAACCCTCAGTCCTGTTCCCTCCTCCACTCACCGATGATCCCCACGGCCACGTAGCCCACGATGGCCAGGAGGAGGAACACACAGCAAATGATGTCTGTGCAGCCCCTGGGAGCGAGAGACAGTGTCAGGGCGGGGCCTCGGTGCCTGAGGATCAGAGACCCACAGAGCCGGTGCCACACTTACACCCGTGTGTGATTTGGACATGTTCCTGGCTTACGCAGATGCTATACCGAAGGGCACGTACACTTTACATTTTAATGCGTAATGGCACACTGTCCTCAAAGCAGGTGCAGCAACGTGCAGCTCTCTTTTGATTGAGCGTGTCCATTTTCTCACATCGTTACCAGCATTACATATTTTTTCAATTTAAATTATTTTTATAAGGTTAAATATTATAGTAAAAAATAGATGAGCCCTGGCCAGGTAGTTCAGTTGGTTAGAATGTCGTCCCTTATATGCCAAGGGTGCAGGTTCCATCCCTGGTCAGGGCACAAACAAGAATCAACCAATGAATACATAAATAAGTGGAGCAATAAATTGATGTTTTTCTCTCTCTCCCTCCAAAATCAATCAATAAAAATTTAAAAAAATATATGAACAATGTAAAAATTAAAACCACAAAATAGGGATGTATACAATAAAGAAATACCCCCCCCACACACACACACACACATACCCCTGCCTGCCCATAAATAACCTGTTAGTTAGTCCTTTGGGTTATTTATTAGGTATTGTTAAAAAAAATTTTTCTTAAGTGTGATGATACACCTCCTGTTCTGTGGCTTGCTATTTTTGCTTAATATATTGAGGGATCCATATCATCACTTATGACTCTTGTACATTTTGTTGTTACGTTAATCCTCATCAAGGATATTTTTTTCCATTGATCTTTTTCCTTTTTACTATTCCTCACTTTGACTCACTGGGAAATGCCCACTGTGTCTTCAAAACCAAGGCCAGTTAGCTTCTACCACCTCAGGCACGGATGGCCATCACCCCCCATCCTTCCTGCATACACACCTTATTCACCTTTATTATTGCGTACTCCACAACGTCAATTATTGCGGTTAGTACCTTGCCTGGCAGGATCAATATGAATTCAAATTGAATTTATGAATTAACAAATAAGTGAATGAATAAATAAAGCATTATGAAAACTACTAAATTAATTAAACCAGGAGACCAGGAGACTGAGGTGGCCCTAATACCTTAGCAATTTAGGCAGCAATCCAAAAATCAAAGCCTATAAATGCCTCACGTCTACAAAATCAAAACGCAAAGGTTGTAAGCCATAGCCCATCAATAATTTTCTTAGGCCCTAGCCGGTTTGGCTCAGTGGATAGAGCGTCAGCCTGTGGACTGAAGGGTCCCAAGGTTCGATTCCAGTCAAGGGCATGTACCTTGGTTGCGGGCACATCCCCAGTAGGGGGTGTGCAAGAGGCAGCTGATCGATGTTTCTCTCTCATCAATGTTTCTAACTCTCTAACCCTCTCTGTACAAAATCAATAAAATATATATTTAAAAATAATAATAATAATTTTCTTAGTTTGTCTCCACCTTCTCTATAAAACTATCTTCCTGAGCTCCCATCAGTGGAACATGCCTAACCACTTCTGATTTGGTGCAGCCGGAGTTGAATTTGTTTTTGCTAAAATAAACTCTTAAAATGTTTAATATGCCTCAGCTCCTCTATTAACAAGACAGTGAACATAGTCTTCTTGTATCTACTTTGTTGAATAGATTCCTGTTTGCTTAGGGATCACAGGGCGGATGCTGGAATATTAAAACATAAATGGAGACATGGAAAAACAGTGACGAGCCCTGACTGGTTTGGCTCAGTGGATAGAGCGTCGGCCTGCGGACTCAAGGGTCCCAGGTTGGATTCAGGTCAAGGGCATGTACCTTGGTTGTGAGCACATCCCCAGTAGGGGGCGTGCAGGAGGCAGCTGATCGATGTTTCTAACTCTCTATCCCTCTCCCTTCCTCTCTGTAAAAAATCAATAAAATATATTTTTAAAAAAAGAAAAAAGAAAAACAGTGATGATGTCCTAGTTAGTAGATAGGCACTTTGGTGTCTAAAACACCGTCAGACAAATACTAAAAAACCCAGCTATTTAGATCCTGAGATCAGATTGATAAAGGGAAAAAGTAATGAATAACTACAATGTTTCTGGTGATTGTTATGCTCTGATTTTCCAAGACAGTTCCGAAGACCTCAGAAAAAGTGATTTTCAGATGGAAACCTGAAGGAATTACCAGATGAGCAGTGGTAGAGGGTAGAGAAGGTGTGGGTGTCCACTGATCTTTTATAGAGAGTGGAAGGGAGGGAAGGGGGAAATAGAGAGAGTCAGAGAGAGAGAGAGAAATATTGATGTGAAATCGAACCTTATGGTGCAAGGGCCGATGCTCTAACCATCGAGCACGCTAACCAAGGCAGGACTCGTACATTTGAACAGCTGTGTAATATTAACCTAAGCATCCACTGTAACTTAGCTAACTAGTTGCAAAGGATGGACATTCAGATGGTTAGATTTTTGCCATTTTCTAAAAGACAGATATTTCACACATTTTTTGTCCATGTGTGCAAGATTTATTAAAACTTTTTCCCCTAAGACAAAGAGAGAATCTTAAAAGCAGCAAGAGAAAAACAGTCAGTTACCTACAAGGGAGTACCCATAGGACTGTCAGCTGATTTCTCAACAGAAACTATGCAGGCAGGAAGGGAGTGGCAAGAAATATTCAAAGTGATGAATAGCAAGAACCTACGACCAAGATTACTTTATCCAGCAAAGCTATCATTCAGAATAGAAGGTCAGATAACGGTCAGATAAAGGTATTCTTTAAGAAGAGGAAGAAGAAAAAGGTAAAGATAAAAATTATGAACAGCAAATACATATCTATCAACAAGTGAATCTAAAAATCAAGTGAATAAAAAATCTGATGAACAGAGTAAACTGGTGAATATAATAGAACCAGGGGCATGGAAAGGGAGTGGACTGACAATTCTTGGGGGGAAAGGGGTGTGGGGGTGCAGGAAGAGACTGGACAAAAATCGTACACCTATGGATGAGGACAGTGGGAGGGGTAAGGGCAGAGGGTGGGGTGGGAACTGAGTGGAGGGAAGCTATGGGGGAAAAAAAGAGGAACAACTGTAATAATCTGAACAATAAAGATTTAATTAAAAAAAAACAAAAAACTTTTTTCCCTAGAATTTTAATCTTTGGAACAAAAACATGCACACTTAAAATGTTCACATTTCCATATCCCCTTGAAAAAAACCGCAACAATTACTTTCAATGCAGAACATGTGTGTTGATCTACTTACTCTTTGCTAATCTGTGGTAGGAAATTCTATCTGGTTATCGTTTTAAATTATATTCCTTTACTCTCCATTGAGTTTGAAACATTTTTCCATAACTTCATCGCCTGCAGTATTTCTTGTCCCAGGCTTTTGCCAGAGTTTCTTTTTTTTTTTTTTAATTCATTTGTAAGGACTCTTTATATTAAGGAAACCAATCCTTTCACCGTCAAGTTGCAAAATATTTATCACCAGTGTGTTGGAGAACAGAGCGGGGAGTGTGGAGACACCGGGGTGGGACATTAGCAGACTCCCCCTCGCCCCACAGGAACCCGAGCGCTCACCGGTTGTAGATGGGTCCTTTGAAGGTGGGGTCGTACTTCTGCGGCGTCCCTGAAAGTCACAGGCAGAGCTGGTGGGCCCAGAGGCGCCGGGCGCCCACCCGCCCGCAGACGCTTCCGCGGGGTCTTCGGTCCCAGGAATAAGTTTCAGAGGCGCTGCCGATCCGCCTCGTGCCCAAGCCCCCGGGGGAGGACGTGCCCAAGCCCCCAGCACAGCCGCCAGCGCGGGGAGGCCGCCCTCTGGGGAGCGGGCAGGAACGGGGCTGCCAGGGCGCCAGGTGGAGCGGGGAGGGTCCCCGAGGAACCCCACAGGAGAACTGGGGAGAGGCTTCAAGGACGGGCCCTCGGGGAGGGGGTTTGGAGGGGACTCT